AGGCAAGTTTTTTCTCATGTAGGTGGTGTCCATGCCATATACGTATATACATGAGCAAACTGATTTTTATTTTTGAGTTAAGAATTTTTTTAGTCATCATCTTGAAGGTCATTTTAGAATGGCTTGTGAGGTATTTTCTCCTTTCCCTGCATAATGAAGTTTGTCTGTTCAGGCAAGCCTCATAGAAGCCTCATGACAACTATAGTATGGTCCTCAGATTTCAAAATGAAAATATGTAAATGCACAGCCGTACATATACTTTAATGTGGTTTCGTGCACATATGAGACATATGATAACATTGGGTGAGCAGGATCAGTCTCTTATTCCTTTAATAACTTCTGAATGTGTTGGCAAGATTCTATCAGTTTAACAAAGGATGATATTTTTCTGCATATGTTTCATTTTCATTTTCATGAAAATAGGTATCTGGGTAAAGAAAAAAGACCCTATAATATCTTGGCTGAGGCAGTAGTTACATATGTATTTCATCAGCTTAAATATCTGCTCTGCATCATCATTTGAGGTATACCAGCACAGTTCTGTCTGTGATTGTGTAGTGAAAAAATGGAAAAAATGATCTGATTGAAAAGTGACTCAGGAGTTGCAGTTGTGTAATATACTGCATTGATACAGCATTATGGATAGTGCAGGATAAGGAATAACAAGAGAGCTGATTTAGCAGCACTATCATTCAATGGGTAACTTAAGCCTAAGAGAGAGTGCAGTATGAGCTCAACCCTGTTAGGCATCAGAGAATCCCTATTAGAAATCAAGGTGAATGTTAAAAATATTGGTGTGGGGAGGCTGGCATGAATGTTCAGACTAGTGCCATTTGTACTGTGTGCCTCACTGAATGTGGTCACTCTGGTCAGTCAAGATCTTACAGATTCTTTGAGTTGTACTGGAACATGAAGTTCAAATTGTTCATGTTCCTCTTAAGGAGTTGATAGCACGTTTCTTCTCTGTCATTGCCACCTCCCACTCCTCTCTTTCCTTGTGCTCCAGTTGTCTCAGTGTACATTCTTTTGTCTAGTAAGAGATCATGCTGTCTACTTAACATAGTTCGATTAAAGCCAATCAGTCCTTGGCTGATTCGAACCTTTGAGTTTGGTTTTCTTAATTTGTGGTGCCTCACAGATTAGTTGGGTGGAGGAAGCAAAACTTCCGTTCATAGATTTCTTTCTCTCTTTCAACGTAAGCATTTGCAAAAAGATCGCAGTGAAATCACACTGCTATCTGAAAACTTTTAACGAGTCCCATCTAGATAGTTAAGTTGGAACAAGAATGGGTTAGAGATGATGCTTTTTCTTCAGAAAGTTTAAAAAGCGTTCATTATCACTAACACTACATTGAACAACTTAATATTGTTACAGGCTTTGAGTATTTGCGCGTTTGCATGGTGAGGATGCTCTTTGCTTATCATTTCCATTTTTTAGTTTATGAATTTCTGCAAATGATGGAATTTGTAGGGGTTTTTTTTGTGCTGTGGAGAAAACAATGAATAATTTTTAAACAGGACAAGAAAACCTTTGAAATCCTCCACTGGATTTAAAATACTGCTGCTGACTGAAATCCTACTTGCACAAGGTGTAATCTCTTCATAAACAGAAAATAATTGTTTATTTCAAACTGCTACTAGTAGGCTATTGGAATTTGTTATGTCAGTTGTGAGAAATTCTCTTTCTATCTGTGACTAGCTCTTAATGCCTTCCTGAGAGGTTTCACAGTATGCTTGTGTTTCTCCAAACACTTTGGGACTGAAAATGTTTCTTACTTAAGAGCACTGATGAATCAGATATACGTGGAGACAGAAAACAGCACCAATTTTCCAGAAGTCTAAATGGTAGGAACAATGAAATGTTAAAAGGGTAAATGGATATTCAAATCTGCCTATTTTATTTACACATACTCCAGCAGAGTCAAGGTTTGAATCTTTGCAACTTCCATACTGTTTTTCAGAATATGCTATTAGTATCAAGACAAATCCCAATATTTGCATTTGGAGGAGGAACTGAAGAGCAAGTACTTGAGCAAAAATTTCTGCTATCTATCCACAGTGAAATCTTCCTTCAAACTATAATTACCTCCCCACGAATTACTGAACATTTTTCTGTCATATAGTATTCATTTATGACAGCTTTAAAGGGATGTCCTGTAAATACTAGAAAATGAAGAGGATGCACATACATCTGCTTTTCAAGATTTAACTCGTAAGTTACTAAAGTTTTTGTGCACAAAAGCATGTTCTGAGCAGATGTTTAACATGGCAGGAAACGTTATAGATCAGAGATCCAGATAGCAACTGGAAAATGCATAGCGTTTGGCACCTTCTTGAAAGTGAACCTGCCAATAATTAATTACTTGTATGAGCCACTCTGTCCCTGTCTAATGAATTGGACACTTACTAAGATATATTAGACTATCTAACAGAGGTTAACTGCACATGCCCTCTCCTTTGTCTTTGGCTTGTGTGGTCCCAGTGTAACTTAAGGGTAGAAGTGATTGTTGGCACTCAGATTGTATGTCCCATCATTGTAATATTAGTTAATAATCCAGACATTTACGTTGGACTTTAGAATCCAAGGTGTAGTGAGTCCTCATTTTCTGTTTCTTACCAATAGAGAAAAAAATGACTGAAAATGTAAGATTAATTTTAAAGTTTAGAATCAAATAGATTTATTCAGCGGAATGGGTTAAGATGCAACAGTAAAAAAATATACATGCTCTTAGGAAAACAAATACTGGTAGCTAAATGAAGGAGTAAGATTTGCTGAAAAGGAGCTTTGAAAGCTATCTTTGAAAATAAAGAAGACACTAAATGTTTGAAATCATTAAGCTAGTGCTAAAAGTGCTATTATAAAAAAATATACCATTAGGAAACCAACAATGCTAATAGCTGTTCTTTAAAGCACATGAAGAAGTGCGTATAAAATTGGAGCCTGTATAGAATGAGACAAGTTCTTTGTGGTCCTCAGATCGCACTTAACTTCAGCCGTGTTGGGCACTTTCTCACGTTCTTATTTCAAGCTAGTAGCCTGTATTCCAGTTGCAAGCAATGCAGGCCCAGACTGGTCTTTTGGCCTTAAAACTCTAGTAGAATACCCTCCTCGACTTCATAATCTTTCTCCTTTATCTTAATACCATCGAGGTCAGATGTCTTTGCTTCATCATTTTTGTTCTAACCTGCAGGTTTCATGCAAAATCATTTTCTTTTTTTTTCTATTTTTTTTTAGATTTGCTCATTCTCAGAAAAAGTTATCAAGAGAGCTATTTAATATTGCTTCAAGTAAATAATTTCTAAGATTCTTTAGAAATTTCTTTACATGTACAAGCACTACTGTAACATAGCCTGTAGGTGGACTCATCATATCAGACATACAGCAGTGCTGCATGGTAATGCTGGACTAAGTTGTACAATTTTTTTTAGAGCAGCCACCTTTTTTCCCCTTATTATTTTCTCCTTTGCCATCCAGTCCAAAGAAAAACGAGGTGGTGTGCCAAAAAGGTATTCAGTATCTACAGGATGTTCATGCTGTGACTGCAGCTCCCCACAGGCAGAGGTTCTCAGGTTCTTATTCCACTTAATTCATCATTCAGAGCTCAGCAGGGGACTCAGCCTGATTTTGGACTTGAAACAGTTAGGCTGGTATTTGCCCCACCCTTTGTCCTCGAAAGGCTTAAAAATGGAATCAATCTATTTTATTATCCCAGCAATGTTTTCCAAAGAACTACCTAACTTTGATAAACTATAGGGTGCAAATAACATCTCTGTATCAGATTTTGCCCTGAAAACTGTATTTCTCATAAGGTATAGCTTAATAATCCTTTTCCATGTAGCCTGATCTCTGCATCCCGGTTCTTTACAAAACTAATATCATTAGGCCTGGCCACAGTCTCTCCTTATATTTTCCTTAACTCTGTACCTCCTTGTTACCTGCTCTTATGACCAGATTGAAACCTTTTAATTGTTGACCAAGTTTAGCAAAACTCCCTATACTTATCCTGATGATTTAAAGGCACTTCTGCAGTTCATCCTTTTGGATGTGGATGTGCTTGTTTCCGTACCTTCAAGGTATAAACAAGGAAAGTTCTGCAAAAATTTCTGGAGGAATTAACTTGAGAAGCTATTTCGGTTGAAAGGTTTTATAAATAGGTGTTTTTTAAGTTTCACTTTTGATAGAAAAAGGTGTTATGATAGCATAAATGTTAATGAACCATCAAGCTTGATTTATCTAGATGTTAACAAACTCCCTACCGATCTGATGTTATCTTTGCAAGGACTGAAAGACAGTTAAAAAAAAATGATTTTCTTTACTGTGTTCTGTCTAGCTTTATGCTAATATTTACTTTGAAAAAAAACCTGCTAAACTTACTTATATATTGTCTTATATTATGTCCTATTTTTATATGATATTATGGGGAAGTTATGGTCAAATCTTTTTATACCAATAGCAATGTCTTGCAGTGGGAAACCCTCACACTGAAAGAATTTGTCAGACAATAGAGACAGTTGTGATATGTCAAATTAAGATGGTAAAGTGATGTCAAAGCAGGTCTAGGGAGAACCCATAACAATGTTACTGTCAAGGAAATAAAGGAAACAGAAGCACAAGAAATACAAGTTATTTCAGAATATCTGTAACTAACTGTGGTATGGTTTTATGTTTTTGAGAGACAGTGTTGTAGAATGATTACCGTTTGTCAGTAGAGCTTCAGGATAAGAATTAGATCTGATGGCTTCCAACTAAGGTCAGCAAAATCCAGCCTGGAAAAGCCTTTCTCTGTTATCAAATTGTCAGATAACAGTCATCACCTAAACAAAATACTAATTCACCAACAGTTTGCTCAGCTAAATACAAAAATTAGACCGTGGAGTCCCCTGGCTTAGGCTTATGCTACTCAGGAGATCAGATCTAGTTAAAATGATGATCCTCTTGCCCTTAGAAATTTAGGAAGTTGCATGAGTTCTTTGTATTTTTGTTATACTTCCTATTTGCAGCTGTGCTGGTTCCCTCGCTGATCTCTCAGTATGGCCACAAGGTTGCCAAAGAGAAGAAGCACAAGGCAGGAGGGAGAACAGGTAAAGAGTAAGTGGTTGTACTGCTGTGCAGCCTATCCTTTTTTCCCCTTCTTTTTTTTATCATTCACCATACATGCACCATTTTAAATGTGTCCAGCCATGATGATAATATTCTCCCTGATAATTGGAAAGACTGTAACAGAAAGAATAGAAGGAAGTAGTAGAAAGAAGGAAAGAAAAGGCAAACCCTATATGTAAAAGAAAAGAAGAGAGGATAAAAAGGAAGAATGGTTAAACAGTGAAAATATGGCATCAAACAGTTACAGGCTGAAGCTAAGAAAAAAGCTGATAGATTTCAGGAGGAAAGTAAACCCCCCCCACCTAAGAAAAAAAAACTCAGGGCAATACATTTAAAATTACATTCCTTTATTACATTTTCAAGGAAAGCATGGTATTCTTGAAATGGTAATTTTTCATCATAGATGTTATCCACCTGGTCTAGGATGTCACTTTTGACAGCTAGAGAAAGGACTGGAAGAAGCTCTCCAGATGAGGAGAAAGCGTCATAAGTCTAGTAAAGGTAGAAGGTGTAAAAGAATTCTAGCATTGGTGTGTGGAGTTAGTGTTCTGATTTCTGCTTGTACACTTTGAAAATAATTCACTGTTAAAGTAATTCTTCTGAAAAGTCTTCTTTCCTGTAATGCAGACTTGAGGAGACATTTCTTCATTTAAATATGAAAACTGTGAGACATTTATAGGACACAAAATTTCAGAATAGCGGTTTTTCTCCAGAAGTGTTCAATACATAGCAACTTCTTTGGTATCGGTTGGTTTTATTTTAGTAATTTTTGTTCACATTTGGTCACGAAATGGCAACTGATCAGGAAAGGAATGGTATCTTGAGAGAGTGTTGCATGACAGAACTTGAAAAATCTTTTAACTTTTTTACATTTTAAATTAATTTTTAAATCGCTTTTTCCATTCATTTTTTTCTCACTTTATCCCTTGGAATAGAATAGAATGTCCAGTTGTGGTAGAATTTTAGCCACAAGCTTACGCGCACTGAGTGATATCATAAGAATAGAGGGGGAAATCAGGAGACCTTCAGGATCTTGTTTTCATTGCATAGGGGACTGCTGGGTGTTTGAAAACAAGTTGGAGTGGCTCCCACTCAGATTCCTCTTAGATAAGTAAGAAGGTTGGATTTTTCAGAAGTTCTCACTCAATGCAGTTTATTTTTTAGTTTCTTCCAAGCTTCCACTCCACAAAAAGGTTTACAAGCTACTCAAGTCTACCTGAAACAGAAGTAGACTTGAACAGAAAAATAATAGTTCAATTTTATAGACACTTTCAAGGTGGAGGCAGGCAGAGAAGAGCAACAGCAGATATTGCATAAATCAGAAAAGATTGTTGGCTGAGTGAAAAATAATCAAAGGCACTAAACGAAATGCAAGATCAGTTTGGAAGATCTGAGTGACACAACAAATGGAACAATGGTGGTGGATTTTATTTTGTAGATTAAGTGCTCTCTTTCTCATTTGGTGAATGAGAATTTGTTTGTACATTCCATTAACACTAATGGAAAATTGACAAAAATTCCATATGTTGATATAAGGCTAGACTCTTTCGAGTAATGTGGCATAAACATCAGTTTTGTCAATATTACAGCCCATGGGATCACAGTAGAAAAGTCCATAATTTTAAAAAGTAAATTATGTACATAGTAATAAATCCCATTTCTGTGGAAAACTCTCAAGAGTTTTTGCCACTGTATAATTCTATCAATCAATCAGGAGATTTTATAGTCCTCACTTAGATTCCTTTTAGTAACAAGAATGATGAAAAGATATAGGTTGTTTTACTTCTTGGAGAAAATAGTTTATGAAATTGTTACATATCATTATGATGCTTTTTATAGGATCCTAATATTAGGAGCTCTTTTATTTTACAACTTCGACAAAAATGATCCAACAATTGGGTGTGGGTTTGAAAAGATTAAAATCTATTGTTTATATTGACCTATAGATGTTCATTTGCGGTGTTCGTCTTAAAGTGCGAGTTCTGAGATTTCTGAAAATATTTTAAAGGCAGTTTATTTGAAACCCTGAATCAATACCTTTTCTGGATATGAGAAAGCTGATACAAACAATACTACGTGTGTTATGCAGTGTCTGGCACCATAACAAAAAAAAAAAAAAAACAAAATCAGGATTATAAAAGTCTTGACCAACTGCAAAAGCACTGAATCAAATTCACATTCATCTAGATCATGTTTTTCTGTCACTCTCTTGCTCCATAAAGGAGATCTACCCGTGTAAATGATGAACTGAAGTACTAATACAGCCATCCTTTATGGTCCCTAGAATTAGTTATATTATGTAACAAGCCAGGCTCTTAAAGAGAGTTGTTAAATCCAGAACCCTGACTGTTATTCTAGTAAGTGTATATTCTCTGGAATAGCATCTCCTTTCCTCTGGTATAAGTGAAGTTGTAAGTATTTTGCATCATGGCTGTGATTTCCATCTGCAGACTTTCTGCAATTCCTGAGTATTTACCAACCTTTGCTTTTCATAAATTAAGATCATTAATGTAATTTAAATGTCTATGAAATATGTGATATAAGTTTGCTTCTAAACCCAATTTTTGAGTGTAATCTTGCAATACATTATATTCTGCTTAATACGCATCTTGCTTTTGGAGGAATAATACCATGTTCCTTCATTCCCAGTTTGTGATATCTCCTTCCTTGAGAAGAATAGTCTATCAAATTTAGGGTTTCAGCAGTCTGCCGTTCTTTATGTTGTAGGTCATTTGAAAATGAAAAAATTATGTCAATTCCTTATTCCATATTTCTAGCTGCTAAATTCTATCTTTTCCTTCTGGAAAACTGCATATCGCTCTCGTTTTCATGCAGTTTTGATATATCTTTATTCTTCTAGGAAAGAGTCATCACCCCTGTTTTCTAATAATCTCTTTACTTGGGATAAGAACCTTTATCATTTCAGTTAATAATTTTATGTACGTAGCACTTACTACCAAACTTTCTACCTATTTTTATATTTTCCCTCCATAGTATCTCTTTTCAGATCTGTAGTGGTCTCACCAGCATCTATAGTTGATTAAAACCATAAATTTGAATCCAGGTTTGAATTCTTACTTGCTATAAGATTTTGATGGCAGAAGAAAGACATTTTGCAAGAACTTAAAAACTTGAAGGGAAAAATGCCACCTGAAGGAAAAAACAAAATATCACAATCATTTTTGTAGCTCTAATGCTGTTAAGCCCAAAACATGCTTTTATTTTGTCACCAGAATGAAGTGACATTGAAACTTTGTTGTACGACTGCTAACAAACACTGAATAGATATAATGGCAAAGCTTGACATACGCATGGTGAGTGGTACTTACCTGTGGCAAATTCCTATTCTGTCTCTCGGCACATGAGAAATAAAGGATTATGTAAAGATACTTTGGTACTAGTTACCAGTGATTACAATGAACAACTTAAAACAGTGCAAGTTTGTTTAAAGAATATGGAAGTCTATATCAGTAGGAAATAGAAAATAGACCACTTTGTGAAAGTAAAAAGGAGTATATAAGTAAAAAAGAAAATATTAGCATTTTCTAATCTTTTTCGTTAGTTTTAGGACCTTATGGTCATTTCTAAATGTAGTTCATGCAGTATCATATATTAATAAAATAATAGATATAGCAGCATGTCCTTATTTTGTTACAAGCCTTTTTTCCATACAGAGCTGCTGTAGGCTTTATGACAAGTCGCAGGGGAGTAGTAAAGGCCAAGTTTTCTTTGTGAACCAGGTTAAACTGAGTAAACTTTCTCAAGCTTTTTCTTTAGCCATACCTGAATCTTCCAGTTAAGCAGAAGCTATAACTGAGTGAAAAATTTTTGCAGGCTGTAAAGTATAGTTACTTGCACCTTTTTTTCTAAGTTCAACAGAAGATATAAAACATGTTGTGTTTGTTTTTGCTAATATTACAATTGATTCCAGTTCCAACAAGGGTTTAAGTTAACACAAAGTAAAATCATTGAAAGAAAATGCAGGCAAACCTTGATAAAGACCAGATGAAGCTGTAGTGGTATTCAGTTAGACTCATACACACATTGTATTAATAATAATAAAAAGAAGTTCAAAACCATGATCTTATTTCATAAGGCTTTTTTTAAATTGATTTTATCAGCTTACGTTGTATTTCTTCAAAATAGAAATTCATATTGACTGACGAGTTCAGCATGATGACTTTGAGGTTTTGAACCCATGATTTCATTAATGCCACAGGCATGACTAAAATAGTAAATTTGAAATTAATCTTTTTTTAGACATTAATAAGTCATAGAGAAAAGAAATAATTAGCATATCTTTGAGGCAACAGAACACTGAAAAAGAAGTCATGTAAACCAGAGCATTTAAAGATAATTGCCAGGCATACATCATTTATTCCAGATTAGCTAAGGTCACGCACTTGATGCTCCCGGTTTTTGCATCCATATATGTGGTCATTGTTGCCATCAAATTGCTGCATTTTGATGGCTATATTTAATGGACTGAGAATAGACCATGAAGAAAAGTACTAAGACCAGCAAATATAAAGAGCACGTACTCTATTCAGTTAAACAGTGACCTTTTTAACCTTGCTGTATGCAGGAAATATCCACTTGTATTTTAGTAATTACATTAGCTTCCTTAATGGCATTTGATTCAGATGGTAGAGGAAGAAGTTATCTGCAGCTGAAGAATGCAGGCAACAATTTTAGTTTGAATTGCAAATACTTTTATCACTGGGATTAAGTTGGGGAAAAGAGAACTCAAAATAGATTTGTGTGCTAGCCTTAATTAGAGAAGCTATTATTTTTCAAAGCTTGTTATCATTGTTCTTTCTTATTATATTAGAATTGATAAAATTTTGCACACTAAAAATATCTATGAAATAGTGTGAAAATACAAAGAGGAAGAATAAATGCAGTATCAGTGCACTTGGGGCTTAAGAAATTGATTTTATTCCAATTTAGGCTACAAATTCTATTTCTGATTTTGTAAAAACACCTCAACCAATTTTTCCTTTCTTTTATCTGTAAAATGGGAATAAAATATTTTCTTCCTCCTCTTTTTGTCTGCTAGAATACATCTTTTTGTCTGCTAGAATACATACTGTCCAAAGAAGGAAATTGTTTCAGTGTCTGTGCCAATCCTAAAGCACTTGAGCACTTAACACAGGTTGAACTTCTTAAAATAGATGATCAAGCAAATTTAAAAGCAAAAGATTATTAGAATGGTCTTATGTCTGACCTATAAATGTAACTCCAACAGGATAGGTATGATGATTCTTCTTTAACTTATTTCTACAGCTTTTGATTATGTGGGATCTTCATAAGCCAGAGATTGTATCCTGACAGTTTTTCCTAATAGGCACAAACGGATCTGTCCTCCATGAGCTTTGGCCTGTTTTTATCTGTTTAGACTGCACTATATCCTGTGACAGAAAGCTCTGAAGATTAGTTGTATATTGTGTATCAGAAAAAAATATTTCTTCTCTTTATTTTAAATCTTTGCCTGCTTAATTATGAATAGACGGGAAGATGGGAAGAAACGCAAGGGACTTAAAAACAGAACTCTTGGTGGCTAGGAAGGAGGAAACGGAGCATCGGATGGAGGGCACACACAGTCCCTCGTATGATTTGAGTGGATGGAGTCCCTGAAGTGCAAGTAGGAGGCTGATAAGCAAGAAGCTCATGACATGAAGTGGTGGTGCTGCTATGAATATTTCCTTCTACTTAAAGTAAAACAGAATGCGGAAACGTATGATATGAATACTTAAAGAAAAGTGGTGAACAGAACACACTATACACGATGATGTTTCTGTTTGCATCTGCCTACCCATCAAGTAATTGTTTCCTCATTTTCTGTTATGACTGCTCCTATCTTTGCCTATTTATAACTACAGACCTGCACACTTTATCTGTGCTCTCTGCAAAGGGTAGGAATTCCTTGCATCCATCTTTGTCTCCATGAGCTACTTTTATGAGGCCTTCCTAGCTCCCTCTCTGTTTTCACATGTGAAAATTGCTACATTTTTTGGTTATTTGTTTCTTTTTGACCTGAAGATCAGCCTCTTAAATGTCAAATTTCAAAAGCAATTGGTGATGAGAGGTGTTAATGGCTACCATCAATGGATTATTTGATCAGCAGGCAATTAAAAAGCTGGTTACAACTAATGGGTGTGCTGGCGTGCTAACCAGATGTCAGTTCTGTATCCTTCTCTTTCTTTTTCTGAATTTCATCCAAATCAGTTTGGTTCTCCCTTTTTCATGCGAGGATGTGCCATCCGAGCTTGCTGTTGATTAGGTGGGATCTACAAAAAGTTATTAAGTGATGTAGAGACAAACAGAGAAAAGCCATCAATTTTAGGTCAAAGGATCATTCTATTCAACTTGTAATATAAGCAGGCTTTTTCACAGAATCTCAGAATGGTTTAGGTTGGAAGGGACCTCTGGAGATCATCTAGTCCAACCTCCCTGCTCAAGCAGGGACCTCTAGAGCATATTTCCCAGGATCACGTCCAGACGGGTTTTGAATATCTCCAGGAAAGGAGACTCCACTACCTCCCTGGGCAGCCTCTTCCAGTGCTCTGTTACCCTCACTGAAAAGAAGTTTTTTCTCAGGTTCAGATGGAACTTCCTGTGGTTCAGTTTCTGCCCATTGCCTCTTGTCCTGTTGCTGGGCACCACGGAAAAGAGATTGGCCCCATCCTCTTGACACCCTCACTTCAGATACTTGTACACATTGATGAGATCCTCTCTCAGCCTTCTCTTCTCCAGCTCTCACAGTCTTTCTCCAGAGGAGAGGTGCTCCAGCCCTCTAATCATCTTGGTAGCCCTCCGCTGGACTCTCTCCAGGAGTGCCATG